ATTCTAGCGTGTCTCAGTCCTTTACCCACAAAAGCGGCTATAACTTTTTTTTCTATTCAAAACAGTAAGTGTGGCACCTTTCTGAAATCTTTATGAAATGAGCAATTTTTTTATGTAAAGTTATAGCTCAGTACATTTTTTTTTCACCCGAGATAGTCAAAGTTGGGGAAGAAAATATCAAAAAGTTAATAATCCAGAAATAGTCCTAATTTTACGATGGTTCCTTAATATATTTTAACTACATTGCATTTGAGTATGGAGAGGCAACTATCTGGAAGTATTTTACATAAAAAATTTACTAAGAATTGCCCGGTTTGTAGTTGCAGTTAAAGAAAACACATGAAAAGGCACGATTCTTTTTTTAATTAGAAAAAATGTAAATATTGCAAAAACGGTGACACTTTTACCCGAAAATTTTTTGTTTATCAGGGAGCTCACCCCCACTGGTTTTCGAGCTGTTCGAAAAGTTGAAATTAAAAAAAAAAAAAAACAGTTTCCTGATTGAGAAATTAAGAAAAACCCGGATAGAACGGTTTTCTTTTACTTAGTTTTCATAATTTATTGCATTTTTTCTTACTTTTTCGCATTCAGTAACAACAGTAAAATAGGGTTTTCAAATGGCATAAAAAAGCTTCTTCGGAGGTGAGTAAAAGTGGAGTGGAGTTGTAGATCGCGGCAAACATTCATTTATTATAAACAAATATGATAAACTGTTCATCCCCCAATAACCTAGGATATAATTTTAAAACTATTTATTGGTTTTCCTTAAACTGGAAAAAGCCTTTAAAACTTCGAAAAACTCTAAATTTTTGTTGAGGGGTCAAGATTTGTATAAAATGAAAAAAATGGAAAAATCCGGTTTATTAGATATTCAAAAAGTCAGGATTTCAAATAAAACTCCTAAATAATCTCACAAAAACCTGTGGAAACCGATTTGGAAAAACCGAGTCAATCACCATAATATACATGTATGTATGTATGCATGTACATATGCTTAAATATGGGTATATTAGCTCTTACTTGTTAACTAATCAAAATATGTGCAAACAAATGACGGATTTATAATAAATATTGCACTTATTCAACTTTTATTTAATGTACAATTTCACGCTAGAAATTACGGATGGTTCGTTTCATTCCAGTCATACCATCGATATGTTAACAACTCACCACAGCCATATCGCAAGCTGAATTTTTAGAGTTACAGAAACACTTTTCATAACGATTTCGATATGAGCCTTGCGGCAACAAATCATTCGCTATTTTGCATAAGGGTTGCTTAAGTAGCTAAAGGGAAATTTTATCCGAGTTGAGCGTTTTTTTGCCGCTCGTTTACAAAAAAATTCAGCTAATATATATTCACCTTCACACGCTCTCGTAGCGCCATCTAGCTAGCATGGTGAAAGGGAATTACAAACTGTCGGTAATGCCGTGCGATTGTTGTCACCAATAACAAAACACAACTTTGCGCTCGGCGGCTACAATGACGAGGTGGCCGAGTGGTTAAGGCGTTGGACTGCTAATCCAATGTGCTCTGCACGCGTGGGTTCGAATCCCATCCTCGTCGCAATTTTTTTTTTGTTAACTTTTTATTTTAATTTGTTTATTATAATTGAAAATGGTTGTATTTTAGTCCATTTAAATTTGTAGATTCTTGTAAATTCAGTGCTGCCACAGCCTTAAATATTCCAAATTATTTCAGGTTTTAACTATCTCGAGTAATTTTAGTTTAAAAAAGGCACTAGGCACTAAACAATTTTTTTGGCGTTTTAATTTTCAAAAAGCACTAAATCTAGTGCTTAAAGCACCAAGTTGGCAACTATGCCTGCAACACTTTTTGACACTTCTTCAACTAAAAAGTTTTAATTCAACTTCTCGTTGTTTTCTTTGGTATGCTTACTTTTCGTTCGTTTTCCAGCCAAAATAAAAATGTAGCGCCAGACCCACTCAAAAAACCCTTTTTTTTATTCCCGCGTTCTTGCCTGACTGGCATGATTCGAATCACACGTCCGGTCATGGAATTTACCATGAACCAACTACCTAACAAGATTACGGAATCAAAGGAGAAAAAAAGTAAATTTCTGAGCGTTTTTGACATCTGCCTAAGAATAAAAACAAGTAAATAAAACGAAAAAGTGCTATGACATAATTAGTAAAATTGGAAAATTAGCAAAAAATTTCATAAAATATGGTTTTCATGATAGAAGGTGTTTTACAATCGCGCAGCATCGGCACGGCTCGATTTTTCAATACCAACGTTCTGACTTCAAAAATGTACCCAATTTTCCCGCAAATTCACGCCTCTGGGGAGAACGAAGAAACGCACGAACTTGTTCCAATCACCAAGCACTTAATTTTTTTTATCTCATAAATTTGTAGGAAATTAAAATTGAAATCGTTCGGAGACACACATCAAATCGATACAAACAAAAAAAAACACACCACAAAGAGGTAGAAAAACAATGTAAACAAAACGAACAACGGCACAGTTGTCACAATTTCCGAACTTTCTTTCAATGTCATACCTTATGCTTGAATCTTTGTTATACTTCTAATAAAATTTCATTTCGTTTTTTTCATAGAAAAATACGGAAATGTTTATTATTGTAATTTGTTGTTAAAAATGGTCGTCCATGAGGCGCAGAAATGGTTTAAATATTCAATTTTTCATAAAAATATAACAGCTCGAACGAATAATTAAGAAGGCGAGAATTTGCAGAAAAACTATTTAAATACAGTTACTGGATGAAATTTACTAATTTTGTTCACCTATTATTTTTTTCATTTGTTTTTAGTATTTTATCATACATTTGAGTATAAAATCTTCGGCTCCTTGGCAACACTGACGCTTACGAGGTCGTTTGCGCATAAATTTTTTTTTGTAAATTTACGAGGGGCTCGTAAATAGAGCTCCATACAAATTTTCACAGCTTTTTTATGAGGCTCGTAAATTTATGAGCTTTACGAGCTGTTTTCTCTCCAATAGAATCTGAATGAAAAAGCAAACTCAGTACCGAATGCCGTAATCTCAAAAAAAATTTCGAATCGAATTTTTTTCGATCACGGACACTGTTTTATTTTAAAGGAGGCGCAAACAATTACTCACCGCTTATATATTTTTTTTATTCAAATTAGATTTTTGAAATGGTTGAAGTTTGCAACCTATTCGTTTGACAACCTCCCACACAAATTTATTTGATTTTTAAATTGGTTATGTTCAGAGTTTACTTTTCATTTTTATTTAAGGTGCCCCATGATAAATTATGGACATATACATACACTCCTTTCGTTTAAATCTCTTGGCTTTCTTTCCGAAAAATATTGGTAGATTTTTAGACTTTGTTAGTAGAAAGTATAATATATCCAGTATAATCCAGACTTTCAGAAAACTTGGTTTCATCAATTCCCCAGCCGACTGCCGAACTGTCAATAATTATTATTTTATTATGAATTAATAATTATTTTATTATTTTAGTGTACTTTAAAAAAGGTATTTTTGAAAATACGTTGCTCTTAAAAAGCCTTAAAAGAGAGCAATTCTAATTTTTTCGTAATTTCATCTCCTTTTCGGCACTATTTTTACAGTTCGTTAGGCACATTTTGAAAACTGATAGAGGTTAGCATATTCTGCCATTATTTCTTTCTTTACTTTGGGCCGTGTGAGTAACTTTCTGGTTACTTAGTTGTAAATGAAAAAAATAAAAATATAAATACTGAGAACGCAATTCGCTTTAGCGGCTTATTCTTGAGGTTGGATATATATTTTTTTCTTTTTCTCTCCAGATTTTGAGAAAAACGATGTCAAATTGACAAAAAATCGCGTTTTTTGCAATATTTTCGAAGGTCTAGCTTAATTTGAGCCAAAGTGGAAGGCTCTACCATCTTTTGTCTAATTGCGGTGGGTACTCAAACTTCGCACAAAATCAGGTATCGCTGTTAAATAAACGACTATAAGTGGCCATCAAGTTAATGTGAAGGGATGTATTTTCAGGAATAGTAGTCGAGACTTCTTGCTTTAATTTAAGCCTAATACCACCTTTTGCTTCTTTGCTATACATAGCTTCTAAAATATTGCGAAAAAAACGCGATTTTTTTACACGTTGACCTCGTTTTTCTCAAAATCTAAAGCTAATAGACACTTTATAATTACTGATTCGTAATCAGCACAAAAAAGTCAATCGAAAATAGCTTTAACATTTGCCGCAACAAAATGTTGCCCCATTTTAGTTCCCTTGTGCAATCTTTACCATCTACATTTCCAAATAATTTTTTTATGATTAAGAGAACTACCAAAGAAATGGCAAATGTCTTCACGAGAAAAATCTATAACAACTAAAGAATTGATATTGAATTGATTAGTTGGTATCGCTCCGATTCTAGTATTTTATATTTTTTTTTTTTTTTTGATTTTTATTGTTCTCGCTAAGCGCAACTGGTTTTTTGTATCAAATGTCACCATGACTGATTTCCACCTGCTGAAACACTGTGTGATGTAGGGGACAAAGGTGGCGCATTCCATAGACCGCTACTTTGGTTTAGCCGATTTTGACTATCCTCAGAAATTTTTAATGCACTGATTTTAACAAAAATACCCGTTTTTTAATATTTTATTAATTATTTCATAAATCATACATATATTTTTGCAATTTAAACCACCTTTCCTACCGAAAAATTTAATATTAAGGAAATTTACTCTTCTGGCAGTTTTTTTTATCCTCTATTCAGCTTTGTTTACTTTTATTTGAGAAATTTCATCGCCGCCGGGAATGCGCAATCTTGTATTCTATCATTCTTGCCGTTTTCTCGAGTACCTGCCAAAAATAACGACCGGTTTGCTTTAGCAATACACTTGACGAGCAGTTAAATCACACGATAACTTT